GAAACATATGATCAGGAAGCCGAGTCCAGCGATGATCAGGGATCTGGAGGAGAAGATTTAAGTATTTACATTTTTCTCCGCACACTGAGCATTAGTATAAGATGTTACTTTTTAGCATGGAAGTAGGATGGCAGGGAGACGATGCGCTGAACACAGCTCTGGTTCAAGCCAATATGACCTGTCCACATGAAGATTCCACCCATGGTGGCACTCCAGAAAGTCATGCGGATACGAGGGTCCAGACCAAAGCTAAGAAATGAACGTGTTTAAGTCGTCCTTCAAGATCAGATTGATATAACTCACTCGAAGTTAAAACGTCCGCCTTCAGAGGCGTGTTCTATAACTGTGGAGACGCCACCCGATCGGACTGTGCCCAAAACTCCCACAGCGACCACGGAAAGGAGCATAATGCCACCCTGAACCACATCGGTCCAAACCACCGCCTTGATTCCACCCAGCATCGTGTAGAAAATGCAAATGGAGGAGACCATTACGTTGATCAAGTGAATATTCATGCCAGTAACTGCAAAGTAAGAGTTTAGTTAGAGAAGCGCTAATCGAGGGAAGTTGATGGCTTACCCTGGGCAAAAGCCAGAGAGGGAATAAACATATAGACGGGTAACATCAAGAACGAGTTCATCACAAATGTGGCGGTTACCAACTGCCGGGTCCGCTTATTGAATCTCATCTCCAGATACTAAAGTGAAAAGGAAGAGTATTAGATCTCGGTGTATCATAGATAGGTTTTAAGAGCTTACCTCATAGCAATTGGAAACATTGTTTTCGTAAAAGACAGGCACAATAATGTAAATTAAAATTGGGATAACGACAATCATGGCCAGGACAACGAATATGTAGTTAAATCCATAGGTATAGCTTTCAGCGGGAATTGACATAATAGCAATGCCGGACAACTGACTGCAAAGGATGATTAAGAAAATATATTTTTCGTTAGTATCTCTTCCTTTAAATACAATGTACCCCTCTAGCTGAGAAGTACACAGTACAAATAAGATGTATGATTATTGCCCAAACAGATTCCCCCAGTTCTGTGTGGGTTGCACAATCGTTATGATATAGGACTTAACAAATCCGCAGTAGTTCTTGGAACACAGCGCACTTATAACACTTGGAGAAATTGACGCAACCCGCGTTTACGGGTGCCAATAAAGAAAGATAAATTGTGACGGAACCGGGAGAATTCCGGCTGGGACCGCCGGGCACCGCTATACTCTCACCTGGCCACCAGAGATATGGCTATGGGCAGGGTTTGCATCTTCTTCCCGCCGCGCAGATACTCTTCCGTGGTGTTCTTGGTCTTTGAGAAGAATCCGAAGTATACTCCGATCCCTGCGAGGCACCCAGCATGATGACAAAGACGACGTAGTCCGTGATTCCGAACCGCAGATCCTGCGAAGCGCCGGAAGCGACACTGGCCATAGTGGTGGTACTAATGGACATCCTATACGTAGTTATGCGGATCTTCCAGATCCTGACTCTTGAGCTCTGGTGGGTGTTTTGTCCGGTCTAACCGGTTCACATATCACGGATGCTGGTGGCAAACTTGCGGGCCCTGGCCTGGATTGTACTTAAATATAGCTCCCGCCGGGGGCGCCCCTTATCTGAACTTGACGTTGCACCGTAAATCATCCGGGGCTTAGTGCTCCACTTATCTGTCCGGCATGCCGCTCTTATATTGTATTATTTTTGCGCCTGGGCCCCGGGGCCATCTTCGCGTTCCCAGATGGCGGGGGAGGTGAAAATATGCGAGTGCTAGAGTTGGAGTAGAACTTGAACTATAGAATCGGGTAGCACCATTATCGGGAACAGTGTGTGTTTTGCCGTGTGAACTGTTTGCGTGTTACTGTTTCACTTTTGCTTTGATTCAGAGTACAAGGAGAAACCGAGAGAAATATTTATTACAGTTACAAAGGGGATCATAAATTACACTTAAGGGTAAGGCGTTAGGACTAAATTACATTTATAAAAATTCTATTAATGTATATACCTAAAAAATATTTAAGTAGTTGAATTTAAATAAAACGGTATATTACAAAACATCAAATATTTTTGATAGTTTTACATTGTTAGTTTGCTTATTATTGTTAGTTGTTATTCCGATGTTATTTAATTATAAACATTCCTTTTATTTGTATAAAACTTTGTAAGCTAATCAGTAATGTGGTTTATTTGTGTTTGTTTTAAGTAATCATCTGTAACTAGTTTTATTTGCAGGTCTGTGAACCTTCTAAAACACGCATTCAGATGGAATGTGCTTACTCTCTTTGGATGTAATCCCAAAATTAGAATTTTATTTTGTCATAAAAGGTGGCTTTCGTTAAGCCTAAGGCTACTTCACTTTATCCAAGAGGACTTTTAGACTTAAAATAATTTATTTAGGAGGCAAGCCTTAGATAAATTTGACAGGTTTTGAATCACTTACGCTGACTTTTCTTTAGTTGCAGTTGAACTTTAGCCTATTTTTTCTAAGACATAATGTTTTTGGAAGAATGTTATAATCATGCACAGAAGACACAACATCCATCACATGGTGTTTTCTTAAGAAAAATTTATTTACTTTTCTCACGTCTGCTGAAACTTTCCATTTTCAGTGTTTGTCTTTCCATAATTTAATTTTTTTGACAGGGGTAAATACTTATAGCAGGTTTGCAGGGGGCGTGGCACCTGTTATACGACCCTTTCCCGGAGTGCGTACAGCTTAACACCGTTGGCCCACCGATTACGGCCCAAATATTTGCCAATGTCAGCGATAAGAAATACGACGATGACTGGGATCCTAGGCTGAACATTCGCATCGGGTAGGCGATTCTGGAGACCAAACAATGAAGATTGAGTGCACCTGGGACTATATTTAGATCCTGTCATGTCGGTTGTTATACCAAGGCTAATTAAATTGCTGTGGCCAGATTGTGGTTATAGTGATGTAGTCTTTCACTCAGATAATAAGTGTATTGAGTTCCAATAGTTCTGGTATGCTCTGGATAATATCGCCCATAACATAAAATGAATCTTTTCTGGAAAATAAACTAATTTAAAAGCAAAGCTCGTCATATACAGAAATTATATCTTTTATGAAATAATTCAAGTTAAGTTAACGTTATAAAAACTTTTAAGAACTCGACGATATAGTAGACATATAAAGAACAGTAAAGAAACGTGTAAAGCTTTTTAATCTAGCCGGAGATTGATAAATTTAGTGAGTATAATGCAGTTCTAACAAATAATTATTTATATTGCTGCAGGCGTCCTTTGCAGCTTTAGAGTGACTAAATTGGAAGATCATAGGTGGGCCAACATGCAAAAGGAAGGTGAGAGATTCACATATGATCTCCCTCTCCAAGCTCTTAAGCGTACATAACTCTTCATATCATTACCATATGGATTATAAAAGAATTATTCCGTTTCTAAAAGATTACATGTAACTTGATTTATTGTAGCCCATTGTTGTGTCGTTAGGACACAAATAAAATTGATTAAGGTTTCTTCGGCATCTTCAATTTTTTCTGCGGTGGCTACGATGTTGTAATCTTTGAATTCCGCATCTTCCTCTTGATTTGGCAGCTCATCTGCCAGTGCATCGTTTTTGGGTGCACCTCCATATATGTACGCCACCTCGGCACGCATTTAATTGGGCAATCCTAATGACTCCGAATGTTGGTTGAGTGGCTGCAGCTTCAGCTTCCACTTCATTTATAGCTCTGAGCCACAACTCCAACTTCAGTTGTGGCAATAGTTGATGTCCATCGACTCATCCTCCCCTCAGCCCCGTCCCCGCCAGCTGCTGCATTGGGCCCAAAGTCTCTACTGCATCTGTCGCAATATTCGCGTAATGAGCGTCCCCTCCGGCTCCAGCTGCCATCCGCATCCCCATCTTCATCTACATCTTCCATTTCGAGCACGATAGCAATTGAAGGGGAGAGTACTCCATGCACAGCAAGAAATTGGTAAGAGTTTCTCTTTATATTGAATGATCAGTGATCCAAAAATGAAATCATTTAAAAATTCAAAACTGTTTGATTATCACGCCAATCATCAGCAGTTTGGTGAATTTCTTGAATACTATTTTCATATTTCCATAAAAAGCTCTTTTCGTATATACAGATCTCGTACTCACCTAAAAAGGTTATCCTTGCAATCAGCTGATATCTTAAAGATCCCATTGATGTATTATACAGAGCTTTGAAATCTAAATGTATAAAATAGATTTGATTTTTTAAGATCTGTTTTTAAAATGAATCTTAGATTGTTTTTCTCAGTGTACTTGGATAGGGCAGGGGTTACAGCTACCTCATCGTGGAGTTGAAAAGTGAAAGGATTTTTGAAGATGTTTGGCTTGGTATTTAATAAACTCGCATGAGGCCAGTGACAACTGGCATTTTGGAGAGCTGCGAACTCGTTCAATTGGAATTGGTCTATGTGAATGGATTGTCATTACGAGATCATCGAGTGCTTCGGAGGTAAAGTATGGGAAATGGGGTCAGTTGTTTTAATGATGTATTGCAAGATGCCAACGTGTCTGAGATACTCCCCATTAATATAGAAATTAAAACAATGCGGTAATTTAACGGTGACAAAATTTACTATTTTTTTTATTATTTTCATATTTTTTTTGTTGTTTCTTTGTTTGTTTCATATAAAATAAAAACACTTACGAGCTAATAATGCGTTATAACACTGTCTGGGGTGTTTTTCCATCTTGGTGTTGTGGGTGTTGTTGTGTGGCTTTCGTTTTCGGTTTTTCTTGTATTCGTGTAGTGTGAGATAACTATTTACAAGGGTTACAAAAAAAGTCCAAAACGAAGGCCCGAATTTGAGATTCGTTGAGGGTACGAGCCGAAATTCGAGATTGGAGTTTGGGGGTTCTCTGGAAAACGGAGTGTGTTTTGGGGAACTGAGAGGTACAGTCGCTGAGTTTTGGAAGGGGGCTTGAGAAGGGGATCGATCACCAGTTCTCTCGGGATCAGAGCGGATCGGTAGTTCCTTTTCTAGGTCCAGGATGCCCAAATTGATATAGTGTTGGTGTCGTCTTTGTCGGTTTCGTGTCCGTCGGTATTCATTTTTGGCAGAGAGATGTGTCTTTCGGATGTGAGACCTTTTCGGGGATCTAGAAGGGCGCTCCGTAGCTGCCGCTGGGCCTCGAGGGGCTCCATACGATCCAGATGGGGCGCTGGGGTATCCACCACCACCACCGCCTCCCTGCTGGGTGCTCTGCTGGGCGAACTGTGCCACCTGGATGGCCTGGCGGACGCCCTCCAGGTCGATGCCCACCACACGGCCACCGCCTCCGATGCCAGGGGCTCCGTAGCTGGTGGAAGGAGGACCGTAGCTGCTGGACGGGCCGCTAGGATAGCCACCGCCGCCGCCGCCGCCTCCACCACCTCCGCCGCCGCCCTGCTTGCTCTCCTCGTTCAGCAGGATCTGACGAACCTGCTCCAAGAGCTGGGGATCCACGTTCTGGCCCTCGGACGTCTGGAAGCCGCCGCTCACAGCCTGGTAGCCACCGCCGCCACCACCGCCGCCGCCACCTCCGAATCCACCGCCGAAGCCACCTCCGAATCCGCCGCCACCGCCGCCGCCTCCGCCGCGGGGATAGTTGTATCCGGATGGTGGCTCAGCCGCAGCCAGAGCGGCCAGAGCGAACACTAAGAACTGGAAAAGGGAAACGGGGGTTAATGGGTAGTCCACAGTGGCCAGATCAGATGAAGATCGGTGGTGTAGATCCTAGTCCAAATCTGCTACTCGATAGCTACTATATTTCGATTCTTTCTGGGATTCTGAGTTGATCATTTAATTTTCAGAAAAAGTACTTGAGGAGGTTTTTGAAATCTGAGAGAATTGGAAACTCTGTGAACATCTTTTTCAAGTAATAGAGAATTGGAGCCTCTGAACTTTTGGCATTTTAAATCCGTTTAAGGTCCGTTATCCGTATAGGTCCGATTTTTCGTAGGCTCGATCTTCAAGATCGAATGCTACTTACCACTGAGAAGGAGTTCATAGCGACGAGTGTTTGTTGGGGGGAAGAGTTGAGTAGAGTAGAGTGGAGTGAATTTGGTTGCTTCCGAGTGGGGAACCAGCGACTGAATGCATCTCCCTGGCCAGCAGAGCCACTCTTTATACCCGCCGGTGCCCAGCTCTTCAGCTCTTCGTGCCAACTCGTCCACTCGGGAACGTCATTATCGCCAAACTTCGTCCGCAACTTGTTTTTGCTTTGGCCGCTTGGCAGTGCGCTTCTCACAATAAAACAAAATTTCCAAATGGAAAACAACGTTGAGACAGAAGAAAAAAAGAAAAGGCCGAAAAATAAAATGTCGCTAACGATTTTGGTATTTGAAATTTTCTTTGGCACTTTCCTTCGATGCGCGGCGGACCAGGAAGTGATTTTTCCATTTTTCCCACCATCGCGATTGATCCCAAAGGTAAACAACCCAGCCGCAGCCGCAGAGATTTTTCGACAGCCCAGGAGGATCACGGGGCTTCCAAAATGTGTATATGTACATACTTTTTGGCCATGAGGGATAGCTCCTCCAATGACGAAACTGCAGTTCGCATTTCCCGTTGCCCAACTGCAGTTGCATTTCAATTGTGGGTAAGTCGCAACGTGGGCTCGTCATCCATCAGCATCAGCGTCACATGGGCACGAAGATTACGAAATGGGCTGGGAAATGCGAATCGGGGGAGTTGGGAGGGGCCCAGGCCGGGCCTGAGTAGTACGTACAATTCGTAAGATCGCGATGTGGAGCAGTAGGGCTCTGCTCTGGCACCACGGGGCGTATAATTACGGTTCCCAAGGAGCCAAATTAAATTTACATTTGCAGAAGAGTGGGGCAATCGCTAGAGCCCCAAAAAAATGCACTTAACACTTTGACAAGCATATCATTTTTTGATTTTTTTTAGGGAATAAGAATACTTACTTCAACGTATAAATAACTGCCGAAATGTCAAACTAAGTGCAATACTAACCATATCAGTTTAATCTAAGCTTTTTAGTTCATACTCGTACCATATAAATACATCAAAATATTTATACTACAACATCGTGTGGTTAAACCTTAAAGGGTTAATTTTAAGATTTGTTGGAGGAGGGGCTTGAGTCACGAGATATTCGGAATTGCGGTTGCGACACCCAGCTGACCTCGAAAGAAGCTCGCAAACCAGAAACCTGCGCTTATTCTGACAGAAGTGAAAGAAGTCCCCGATCCGATGGAATGGGCCAGGAGGCCCCATTGTGCCCATTATGTCATGACGCCGGATGAGCACCTGTGGAGTCGCAGATGGCGGCCGAAGAGGTGCGATAAAAACACAATGAAAGGGAAGACGACTGCATTCGACTGGAAATGAAGCTGGCAGTAAATTGGAGTAAATGAGGTTTATTTACATCTCGACACACACTTTCGCAAAACCCAAAACCGGCAATGACTTTGGCTCCGCTCCATACAGAGAAAACATTTCACCAAACCATAAACCATTTTACTAAGCTTGCATTTACTTTATTAAGCTGTCTATATTGAAAGCCAAACAAAATTTATGATATAATCTAGAGAGCCCATGTCCAAAGATATTTTAACTTTTATCCTTGACAATTATAAAAACGTTTAAGACAGTTTAAAAAGATGATCATAATATAATGTTATAGATTTTTAATACAGAAAAGAAAGCGATGCAGACTTTTAAGATGGATTTCATTATAATATTTGAGAGACCGTCCGAAAGACATTTTTCTGAGTGTGCTGAGGGCGCCTTGGCTCTTTGGAAACCTTCACGCTCCAAAGTGAAGGACTTGCTGCGTAGCGTGTCTCCCTGCGTTGGGGCACGATCTGCAGTTGGAGTTTGGGAGTGTGGATGGGGATGGGGATTGGGTTCGGTTTTGGTATTGGGTTTTGGGCTTTGGGTTTTGGGTTCGGGGGCAACAATGAGATGAAAGTCAACACTTCACTCTCGATGGCGGAGGCAGCAGAAGCAGCCTCAATGACAGTGCGCTAAATCATTTGCGTGGCTCGGAACCGAACTGTTTTGTTTTGATCAGCTGTGGCTGCCACTGTCGTTAATTCGGTTTATTGTGGTCGAGGGATTCCGGCGAAGGTCTCTCACCCATCGATGGCGTAATTCACTTTTGTCGGGCTTCACTTTCGGCCGTGTAATTGGAGTAACGGGGAAAGGTCACATGCAAGAGTGGCCATGCCGCAAAAGAGCCTTTTATTTAATTAAGACATAATTATTTATATCATTATTTTTTCCATATTTTTGCCAAAAGTATTTAACTCATATGCCTAAAACTATAATAATAGGAAGAGATATTTAAACATAGGACCTTGATAGTCAGTGATGGTCCTTTGATATTTGTTGACCATAATCGAGATAATCGTGGGAGTTTATTAACTACTTCTTATTCATTAGCGTTGCCTTTGTTTTGGTTTATCGCTGGCTCTGGTTATTTTTACCCGCGTTTTTGCAACTTTAATGAACGCTTTATTATACATAGTGGCCTATCTGAACATATCCATCATTAACACGTCTTCCACTAGGTCAACTTTGGACGGTGATGGCGATGGCTTTGGATCTTGGCTCTTGGTTTTGGCTCTTTTCGCTGTTGGCTCCGTGCTCCAGTCTCTTAGCCAGTTTTTTCTCACTCTTTTTAGCCCAAACCGAACAGAAACTCATTATGGCCCAGTGTGTGCGTGCGTAATTGTTATGACACTATAATTGGGCCAGCAATAGCAAAACAAAGCGAGCCGAAATAAAAATAAAATCCCCTCAGACGAAAAGCTGCCAACTGACAGACGCGCGTAAATTTTCAAATCGAATTCGCAAAGTATCGCTGCCATCGAGATTTCATTTGCAATTCGTCTTTTGCACGGGGACAACGCCCCCGCCCCGAAAATCAATTTGATAGCCCCTGCGATTTGCGAATTTTAAGTTTGTTTGATTTCATTTAAGCTCATTAAAGATTGCAAGTCGTAACCTGATGATGATTAAAATAATAGAGTGAAATCGAAAGTTTAGACCAGTATTTTTCTACATGGAATAGAACAATAAATGTCATATTATACATGTTAATCCACGGCGTATACGCAACATCAGCACTAGAGTTCCTAATTTCATTTTGTCAAAAAGGAGACGGAGGAAGAAAATGAATTATTCAAAGCCATTTTTTTAAATAAAGATGTGTTTCTGGTAACACTCCAGCCATCATGGCGCATGCGCAACACACGCAATTAGGATAGTTCTAGTCTTTCAGCCACCTGCTGATCTCTTCGGGGAACCATTTCGCCTTTGAAGCGCTAATCGACAGACGAAGGCATAAAAACAGCATGTGTGATTAATGATAAAGAGGGGTCATTTTTCAGTCGCAGATGAGGCTGATGGCGCGACAAAAAACTGATTATTCCGGCCTATTGATGACAGAGGGAGAAGTGCAGTCACGTACGGCAAAGTCGTATCTGCGGCGCTGATGAAGATGAGTCCGCAAAATGTTGTTGGTGTTTGCCGGTGGTGTTTGGAGTTCGGTGGCTCATTCTCTGCAGGTCCCTTCGAGCCGGCGGACTACTGGACAGGCCACATGGGTTGCATAAGCCAGCGAGCCCCGTCGGCAGTAGTTTTATTTTACACAGGGAAAATATAAGCTTATCTTATTGTTCGGATTTATATTCATTCCGTGCCTGCATCTCAAAATAAACTTTAAGATCTATCTCGTCTGATTGCATTCAAAGTAATTTATTTGATTCAAGTTGCACAGATTGCTATCGGACAGTTCGGATTTTGAATTATTTTTGCCGTATGTCGTACAGTTTAAAAAATGTTATATATTATATTAAATGTGTATTTTAATAATATGATAAAACAATTATGTTGTAATTGCCTAAATGGATAAATATTATTATCGTATTATTCCATTAAAATCAATATATTTTGCCAATGATGGTTTAATATAGTGAACAGCTTAATATTTACTTATACGAGTATCTATTAAAGGTCACATAATATTTTCTATTAAAAGTTAATAGATATTTGATTACAATAACCGTGTAGCTACCCGTACCAGCAATGGCCAAACATCCACCCCACCCCCAGCCAGCTGATGATCATCGAGAGAGGCCCCTCCACTCCGCTCCTCCTCCACATCGCCCCCAAGTAACGCCTCTGTCGTTTCCTCGTCGCGGGCTGAAACGGGTTTGGATTTTGGCGTGCGAGGTGCTCCTCGCTTTATGTAAGTCAAGCGCGAGACATGGAGCCCGACGACGCAGTCATGGAGTTGGAGCATGGAGCATGGAGCAGGGAACTGGGAGCACTGAGCCGGCTGGCGGGCAGATGAGCAACCTGATGGCGGTGGGAGGAGTGGAGCGAATGCAGTGCATATGCAATGCGAACCGACGAAATGGGCAGCAGCCATAAAAGACACTCAAAGAAAATTGTAAGTGTTTCTCCGAATTAACAATTTTCGTCAATAGAGGCGTTTTTAGTCTTAACATTTTAACATTTTTTTCAGCAATTGCTTTCCTTAAGTATTTTATTACCAGTCATGTTGTTATTTTTAGTGTCCAGGTGATTATTTTATATTTTTCAGAGTGCCGACAAAAGATGGCATGGTGCGCATGGAAAAGCCGCCGCTGAATGGAAAATTGCTGCGACACGTTTTCGCCTGGGTCCGCTGGAATGGGATGGGATCTGTGACCGGTCTAAGTCGGCGGTGGTCTGGTGTCGATGACTGTGTGTCCATGTGTCCAAGTCTGGGCCCCTCGTTTGTTTTCCGCAAAAAAAGACAATCCGCGCTGGCATTCTGCAGCCAACTTTAGCCTTTGGGTGCTAACCATTCGGTTGGCTTATGCAAAAATCCACATCCTCAGCTGGTCCGCGACGAAGTGCCTTGTGCAACACCCCAGCCAGAGACCAGACATCAGACACTAGACAGTCTGACCAGTTGATCCACTCGCCATGTGGTCATCTGGTGCATCGGCACCGGTGGTTCCATTCTCGAGGCTGGGGTAAAAGTAAAAGCCAGCGGGGGAGGAGTGGCAATCGCAGATCGAAGATGGAAGACTCATTTGGCCACCTTAATTATGCCACGATTTGGCAC